GTCTTGAACAATCTTCGATACAACCCTCATCAAAAGGGGGATCGGGGGAAACGTGTAAAAAGTCAAATTGTTCCAAGTGATCATGAGGGCATCTCCCCTTGAGTCCTGTCCGATACCCGCTCTGGAACAAAACAGTTTGCATACCCTGTTCTCTCGGGTAGCGATCAAGTCTATGTCCGGGTATCCCCACAGACGGAACAGTTTGTTGCAAATCAGCCGATCCAACTCCCACTCGTGGGTCGTTGACATCTGTCTGCTCAGTGCATCTGCTTTCACATTGTCGGTCCCTGCAAGGTGGACTGCCAATAGCATTATGTCCTTTGGGATACACCAATCCCAAATTTGCATCGATAATCAAGCCAAGACGGGTGACTTTGTCCCGCCCTGCTTGTTGATGTAAAAAAACAGCAGCAATGTTGTTGGACGCAATCTGGACAACTTGGCGGTGTAGGATGGTCTTGAAGGATTTGAGAGGGTTGAAAATAGCCAGAAACTCGAGGAAGTTGATGTGCTTCCTTGCTTCTTGTCGGTTCCAAGTCCCTTGGACCCGAAGTCCCACACATGCCGTACCCCATTCGATGAGGGACGCATCGGTATACAATGTCACTGTCAGTTGAGGGGGTTGGAACAGAACGCCGATAGATAAACTGTCTATAGTAGTCCACCATGTCATGGTATGGAGGATCAAAAGCGGAATCCGAATAAACTTGCTTTGTGGGCCCCGCTGCGGGTGAAACGACTTGTTGAGAAACAATTGCAGAGGCCGAAGTCTGAGTCTGGTGTATGGTACGATGGCAACTGAGGCAGCCATGTGTCCCAGAAGCCTTTGTATAGCGACAACCTGTTCTGTGTTGTCGAATTTGATGGATATGAGCACAAAGAGTTGCTCAACGGGACGGAGGAAGAAATGCCCTTTGTAGGATGGAGTCGATACGTGCTCTGATGAAATCGATGACCTGCGTAGGGATAAGTGACGATTTCTTACGGTTAATGCAGAGTCCAAGGTCGTCAAGCAAAGTACACATCTTATGTACAGCCGAAAGGAGGCTGTCTCTAGTCTGGGACACAATCAGCCAATCATCTAAGTATGGGTAGACTTATATACCCTGAAGTCGCAGGTGTGCACACACCAGGGCCATACATTTTGTGAAAACTCTCGGGGCCGTGGCGAGACCAAATGGCAGAACATTGAATTCGAGTATATTGGTCCTACAGTAAAACGCAGGAAACGTCCATGAGAAGGATGAATGGAGATATGAAAATAAGCATCCTTCAAGTCCAGTGAGGCGAACCAATCCCCTCTCCTCAGCAACGGAAGGATATTTTGTAAGGTGCTCATCCGGAACTTTTTAGGTTTGATGTACTTATTAACATCTCTTAGGTCCAGGATGGGACGAAGACCACCGTCCCGTTTAGGGACTGTAAAATATCTAGAACAGAATCCGTGTAACCCTTCAGAGCGAGAGAGTCGTCGAATCGCTCCTCTACAAAGTAGCTGGTAGACCTCATCGCATAGTACTGAAGAGGGCGGCGTAAATCGGATAGGGCTCGATGGTGGAACAATGTCGAATTCTATTCTGTATCCGAGCTGAATGATGGACAACACCCACCTATCAGATGTAGTGGACTCCCAAATGGGGAGTCAGCTTTGAAGCCGGCCCCCAAAAGGGAGAGGGGAAGATGGGAGGTGGAGAGATGGAGTGGCCCACCGGGACTCTCAACGAGGATGCTTTTCAGTATCGAAGCATCGACAGCCCTGGGAGAAGCGTTGTTGAGGCTGTTGCCTTCTGCGCTGCTGCCTTTGTTGATATTACTGGCGGAGTTGGTATTGTTGACGTCCGTAAGGTCTGGACCATGGCCACTTATGTTTGTGTCGAGGAGGCTCCATGCGACGCGCTGTCATGCGTGATTTGTCAATCGCCTTGAGCTTATGATCGGTCTTCGCATGAAAATGTCTGGTACCATTGAACGGCATTTCTTCTATCCTCCTCTTCATTTCTTCAGGGAAGTTACAATTTCTCAGCCACGCATGCCATCGAAGGGAAATAGCACTGACCATGGCCTGAGAGTCAGTGTCCACATGGTGTCTTGCGGTGGACAGTTGCTGTATGGCCACTTGCATTGCTTCTTTTATGAAGACCCTGGCTAGGTCAGCTTGGTGGTCTGGAAGGGAGGAGGCGACGTTATCCAGCTTCTACATTATGAAGTACTGGTAACGTGCCAGCATAGCTTCATAATTTGATATGCATAGGCCGAGTCCCGAGGCTGCATAGGCCTGATGTGCAAGCATATCTAGCTTCCTCCCTTCCTTATCGTGGAGTGTTGTATGACAGCAAGCCTCCCTGCCCTGGGACGACTCAACCACCACCGAATTTGGCTTGGGATGAAGAAATGGTATGTCTTCCTCTCTAACCCGGTATATAGACTTGTACCGGTGAGATGTCGCTTGTGGTTGAGCTGGCTGGTCCCAGGGCTGGACCATCGCCTGGCAGAGGTAATGCTATGGTTGCAGATTGTTCTCCCTGGACGATGTCATAAAATCTATCGGTGCTGGGATCGTGGTGATGATGGGCCTCAATCTCCAGTGACCAAACCAAGTGGGAGATGAGCTCCAAGAAGGTGATATGGGGCTCGTCCAGGGATCCAGGGTCCTGGGAAGTGATGGCCACATCAGGGGATGTGGAGTCTACTTCCAACTCGTCCGAGTCCTGGTGGTAGCGGTATTGTTCGCTGGAAGAGGAGGTCTCCAGGGATGGTGGAGGTCTCCTCTCTGCATGTCCAGAAGTGGATGGTGCCTCCCTCGGGATCGATGCTGAGTGACAGTCCCATGGATAATAAGCGTAGGGTTGGTATCCACTCCAGCCAGGGAAGCCACCATAACCAGGCATAGGCCAGTCATCCAACTGGTGGTCAGCTGAACAGCTTCTGCGCCTAGGTGGCGATACAGGTTGCGCAGGTGGTCCAGCGGTAGGCATCGGGGTTGGAGAGCGTTCCCTCAGTGGGGAGTCTCTGCTCTCTCCATCTGAGATCAATTCCCTAAGCGGTGGCTCCGGTTGTGGAGGAGATGTGCTCTCAGGCCGGACAATTTGCCTGGGGGATCCCGGCAGGGTCACCTGTATCGCTGATTACAGGGCTGGTCCCGAGGGAGTTGGTACTGTGGCGGCAGTTGGTACTGAGAACCTCAACGAACCCGAGCCCTGATGTTTGGGGTGATCGAGCTTCTTGCCCTTATGGGCAGCCTTGGCCACTTTATCTTTCCTCAGTTTTTTGTGCCCGGAAGATTTATCAGATTCCAAATGCTTACACTTCTCCTTTTGCTTAGTTGGGGGAGAAGGTAGCTGTTGCGCTTCCATTGAGGCAGCACCTTCGTCCGAAGGCCACTGTGGAGGTACGGCCAATGTTGAAGCAGGGCGCTTGGAGGGCGCGGCCAAGGTAGAGGCGGAGCAGTGAGAAGGCACAGTCGAGGAAGAGGTAGGCCTTGAGACCAACTGGTCTGATTGTAGCAAGGCCTGGTCCCAAAGTAACTTGCAGAGACGATTCTCCCTATTCTTCCTGGCCTGTTTGCTAAAGGCCAAGCAATGCCCATACTTATCGGTCCTATGCCCCCCGCCAAGGCAGAGGAGGCATAGATCGTGCGGGTCAACGGGAGACATTTTGGAGCTGCACTTGCTACATTTGTGAAATGCCACCCGCTGCGCCATCGTGAAAAGGAAAAAAGGAGGTGATAGTGCAGAGGGTAAAGAATAATATTTTTGGGTTTTTTTTTTTTTTTAAGAAAGAAGAAAGAGAAGAAGAAAACTACAACACGGATAAGAGAAAAAACTGGGAGTATAACAAGGTAAGTATAACAAGGTATAAGAACCATAAACGAGCACGAGGCAAGAATCGAAGCGAGAGACGAACTGGCACGAGGCACAGTGAATGGCGGTAGCAAAGACTGAATGGCGGACGCTCCACTCTATTTATACTATGGGGGGGGGAAGAAGCTTTTCCCACCAAAAACCATTAGCTTTCTAATCTTCCAGCCTAGGCACTGCGCAGGTACAGCACCCATATGTGTGATGCACAGAGGCCACGACAAAGAAAAACAGATCCATCAGGGGAGCAATTCCTCCCTCCCTACAGTCCCCCAAATTCTACTCTGGAGGACTGAGAAATCCCACAGAGCAAATTTTCAGGCAGTGTTGAAAGACTGTATTGGGAAGAAGAGAAGGAGAAAGCCCTAAACACACCAGTAAGCTACAACTAGTGTGATGTTGGAGATAACGCTAGATTGCCCATATTTTGTTACTTCCATCAACACTGGCATTTCAGTTATTCTGCCCCACCTGGGAGAAACTGCATCTATCACCTAATTAGCCAAGGTGAGGTCCAGAGGACAGCTCCAGAGGTGCTTAGTTCTCCTACTCCTTTCCAGTATACTAACATTCATTTCTTCATGTATTTTACCTCTCTCTAAATGGCTTTCACATAATATATTTCAAATTTTTGCCTTCCCATGTGTTCTTGATTTGCCTTTTATAGGCCTCCTGCCTCAGCTCAAATATAAGGTTCTATCATGAAACCTATCACATTGGGGTCATATCTACTGATTGGAATGTTACTTCAGCAATTCAATTGTGAATTAAATAGCAGGGATACAGAGGTACAAGTGATCTTCCCCATGCACTAAATCTGCTAAAATCAATCAAAATGGCTCTACAAAAAGAGAAGAATTAAGCATTATTTGTCCACATTTGTCTTGACTGCACTTGTGATAACTCTTCTAGGTGATCAGATAATACTGTACATATGCTGTTGAGAAAAAATGCACAACATTACATTTTTAAATGGTGCTTATATCATAATGGTGTGTGTCACATGCAGTTTGACATAGTACAAAAATAGATATTGAAAATCAATTACAAAAAGGGAATGACTGAATTTCAGAGCAATAACATATTTTCAAAGAGAGTTGTTTACGAATACTGAAAACTGCTTTCAGTAAAAATAGGTCTTACTTGAGTATGCGAAGGTGGTAAGCCTTTTCGGCCATACACTCCAATCAATGCATCTTTCTGAAGGGAGATATTGAATTTTAGAAACTGTGGCTGATCAATGAAGACTTGTGACCTCCAGAAGATCCCAGGAGGAACCTCTTGTGTTGCTCTTCGGCCTATATCAAGTTCTCCAGAATCTATAGTATTGTTTTCTTGTGCAAATCCTCCTAATTTTCCTGAGGGATTAAAAGGAAATTGAGATATAAAATGTTAGCTTTTAGTCATGCTTTAAACAAGCTGTCAAATATTTAGACTAGTTTGAAGTGAAATATTACTTCAGAACCATTCAGAGAATGTTAACAATCCCAGGGAATTTACTGAAGGAGAGCTAACAACAAGGACAGCTTACATAAATATCTTTGAAGTCAAAATCCCATAACTTCCCTAAGGTATATTGTTAAGACAACTGTTGTAGGACATACATATTCTCCATGTAATCACTCTTAACCTAATTATTTTGCAAATATGTATTTGTTAAGAAGGATTAACTCTGGTATTTATCATTCTGTTAAACACACAGTATTCTTAAAATTGAAAATTAAGATGAACTGGTATATACATAGCTTTTCAGAGAAATTCTTATGCAATCAGATAGCAAAACAATCAGTGTGAAAATAAGTCCGATTTTATACTACATTAGATTGTACAGCATTCAATAGAGATGCTGTGTGAAGTCTTCAAAATGTATTCATTTGTGTAAAAAATACAAACCCTGTCTATGTAAATTAATTCCATAATTTTCAGGAAAGTACTCACACATACCCCACCAGGATTCAGAAAAATGGTTTGTCCCATTTAAAATTTATCTTAGCCTATGTTTTGAAACAATGCGTTTTGGGTACATTAACATGCTATTGGCATTATGCCTCACAGCCTTCTCTTCTAACAACAGGACACCACAATCTCTAGCCTACTCAGGTGAAATAACATTCTGAATTGCTTTATTTATAACACTTTCTAGAAACTGTATATTCCATAAAGATTCTTTATAAGCACAGTACAGAAAGATATAACCTCCCTTCTTTACGATCTCTTTTTAAACCTAGCTGTCATGCTACATATGCTAAGCTTTTCTGAGATGCCAGAGATGCACCTGTTGAGTCCTGTTATTAGCATACTTTTGTTCTGCCACCCTCTTGCTTAGTGCAGGGCTAAATGTTATAGGGAACGTTCACATATGTAGGTAAAACCAGTTTTTGATTCCTTGCATCTTGAATTTGGATGAGAAAATACTTTAAACAGAATCGATATTTGATTTTCAAATGTTAATCTTCTGCTATCTGTACTGCTTTAATACTATCTACAAATGGTGACTTGAAAGTGTACTTAGCCATTACCTTGTAAGGATATAAGTAACAGAGCACATGTTTAAAAGAACCCACAGCCTTGAAATTAGAAGAGCTGAGCAGGACTTTTTGGAGGGCTTTCATACATAGAGTTGCCATAAGTCAGAGACAACTTGACAGCACACAACAACAACAGCAGCAGCAGCAACAGAAGATAATGATATTTCCCCTAAATATTGTCAAATAAGGACAAATATATCACGACATTAGAATTTATCATAAAATAGAAGGAAAACAGTAAGACACATTAAGTTCTGCAACTAAAGGGAAGGGCCACAGCTTAGTAGTGGAAACATGCAGGAGATTCTGGGTTAATTGCCAGCATCTCTATATGGGGCTAGAGGGAAATCCTGTCTGAAACCCTGGAAAGACACTGTAATTGTTGATGAACCTGGACAAGATCAAACAATGAGATGCACCAAGATGGACTTGGTATAAGGAAGTTCCCTTGGTCTTAGCACAAATTTCTAACAAAATTAGGGCAAGACTATTTGTCATTTGCCCTTGAAGCATTTAAGCCAGAAAACACAAAGGCTTAATGCATGCACTTCAGGATAGATTTCTGCTACTACAATCTTTGTGGACTGTATTTCATCCCAGTGATAAGAGAGAAAAGAACGGAAGGCCTGGGTGTCATTTCTCTGCAGCATAAGCTGTTGTTCTTATCCTCCTTTCCTCCCCCTGCAGCCTCTTTGGCCTTCTAGGAGGTTAATTTCTGACACTGGAGATGCAGCTAATGTTAATTGGAATGGAGGCTTCAGATTTGTAGCCACAGCTCCAATGTTGGAGGATCTTGAAGCTCAGATTCCAAATAATCCTATGCCCAGTGCTTTTTTTGTAAAAAAAAAAAAAAAGTGCTGGAACTCACGTTGCCACCGGCAGTAAGCACTCAGCACACACACCAATCCCAAGCCGAGCAGCGAAGCAGTGTCCCAAGTCAAGCAGCACCCTCACTATCTCACTATCAGATAGCAGACACAAAAGCAGCCCGCAGGCACTATGTTAATGATGTTTGCTGCTGCTCTGCTACGCCCGACAGGCGATTCAAAATCACTTCGTAAAATCCATTGGAAAAAAAGGTGCCGGAACGCTGTTCCAGTGCGTTCTATGACAAAAAAAGCCCTGCCTATGCCTATCCATCACTATTAGATGATCACAGGATTGTACCCTTAGGGCTAAATACGACTGAGGTAATAACATGTTCAACAAAAAAGCAGAAACATATTGAGAAACCCTTCCATGGTCCGAATAACTGATAGCTGCATTTGCCATATGTACATTTGTGGAGAAAAGGCAAAGTTGCACCCAATCACTTGATCATCAATGTAAAACTGAGTCTTTTCAGTGTTTGCATTTTATTAAGGTTTTATTATATCTTGCTGTGTGGCACTAAGATGCTTTAATGCAAAGAATTCATAAGTATAAATTTATGATTATTTATTTTTATTTTAAAGAAAAAATAAATATGGGTTGCATAAAGGACAGTAGATGAAAAAGAAGTTTTAATAAAAGTATGATATGAAGGAGTATACTGCACCACTAAAACTCCAGAAAGCAAGACACCTGAATCAGCTAGTGACTGTGAAGCCAGGAAAAGCAAGCAAAGGGCAAGAACATTTAGAGATTAGCATGGTAGGAGAAGAATGTATTTGATTTGACATGAGAGAATAGTAATGTTTGTCTTTTGGGAACTTCTTTAAGACAAACTTTGTTAAGTGGAGCAGATAGAACTGGGGATCATGCAGTCCAAGTTGCTGTCCTAAAGAGTTCATGAATTAATTGAAAACTAGACTGCACAATAATTTATAGATTATAATCCATATGATGTATGGTATAAAAATTAAAGAATATAGAAATACTTCCAATTAGTTTTCATCCTTTATTTTCTCAAAGAGATATAATAAATATATTAGTCTAATATACTGTACTTGTATTAGATTGAAGAATAATCTGTCACACCTCCATATTATCTTCAAAGATATTCAGCTCAGAGCTTTGTTACTGAATGATGGGTTACCTTTTCTTTGCAACTATTATCAGTACTCAAGCATTCCGGAAAAGGTGAGACACATGTGGTAGCTCACTGAAGTACATCCAGTGTCCTGTATCACAAGTATATCCTGATTTAGTCAGTAAGTCATTCCAAATGGTTCCCTTTGTAACAGTGCAAGATTCACATGCAGGTTATTGAATCTTACACAAAGTTCTTTTTTCAGGAAAATACAGTGATCAGAAGCATAGAAAAATAAAGGTACTGAAGACCATTTCTGACTTGGATTCTTTCAATCGAGTCAATGGCAAGGGTGCTGACAACAAAGAGACAGAATTACACAACAGAATCAGTTGATTATTTGACTTTACAGGTTTCTCACATATATTTCTTTTTGTAGATATGTAAGATCTGTTTTTTTTTCTGTATCTTGCTCCTGCTAATTTAAAGTGTGCTTGCATTCCTTCATTATTGTAATTGTAAAAAAGCAAACACTATTATGTGTACATATAAGTTTTGCATTGAACCTGGTGTACTGCAACAACAGAAAAGGGAGGTGTATTGTTTAGGATAATTTAGGAAGAGACTGCAGACTAATTCTGCTGCACAAAAGTGTTACTAAAGTACCAGCAGTGATGTATAATGTTCTTTAAGAAAAAAGGCTTAAAACAGTTGAAGTTCTATCGGTTAGGGGAAAAAAGACTTAAGATAAAATAAATATCCAGTTTTTCTTTAAAAATATGCACGTTATAAGGAAAATGAATAGTGGGAACTTTATTCACATATTCATTAATTATGAAAAGTTGGGTTCTTTCACTGAAATTGACAGACAGCACCTTTATTACAGGCAAAAAGCTCCTTTTTCCATTATTTCTCTCCACTATTAGTTTTCCAGTGGTAATATCACAAGTATAAGTGGCTTTCAGAAGTATTAAATCAAAATCAAAAGAACATGTACACCTACTAGTTACAGGCCCAGCGAATAGATGCTGGGAATTAAATTTAAGCAGTCTCCATGTGGTAATCCTGCAAAAGTCAGTTTTAGATAAATTCAGGTTTTGGCTTAACATTGACGAGCCAGGATAAATGAAGGACAAGGGTGGCAGTAGGATTGTGAGTAAGGTGGCATGGCTATTAGCACTTCCCAGTGGTATTGTTTTGGGACAGGAGGTCTACAACCATTTCATGGTACTGCAAGTGGCTTGCCATCAAATACAATATAAGACATTGATGCTGCTTCTCCTGATCTGCAAATCTTTGTCCCCTGACAGACATGGACAATACATCCAGTAATGTGGATTGACTCTTATTTTGAAAGTAAATTATTCATTTGACTATATTTTCAGTTCTTACTCAAATAAAATCCCCACTAGGATACATGTATAATTCTCTCTCTCTCTCTCTCTCTCTCTCTCTCTCTCTCTCTCTCTCTCTAAAGGTCACTTACTAAATTAAGATGCATCAATTTTTCTTATAACTGTACAAATCCAAAACAAAGGCATTTGTTTATTTATTTAAAACATTTGTATACCACCTGATTGTGCCACAGCACCTCATGTTTACCAAATTATTAGGTTAAAGTATAAAATAATCAATAAAACTAATCATAAAAATGTATTCTAATAATGAATAAATTTGGTATGATTTCCTGAGACAGTAAAAGATTAACAATGCTTGCTCTAAGGCACACTTTGATACAATTTCAAGCTTTTAGTGATTATGGGCAGCTTTAAAGAGAGTATCAAGATTAGATTTATAGACAATCAATACCACACTATCCAATTGCATAGCATAACCTTGGATGCATACCACTCACTTTGAGATATCTGAGATGACATTA